CGTGTGAAAACGCCCCTAGCATAGCCATGTACTGGAGGGCAATAGATTGGCCACTACTCCTCTACAGAAAGGGATCATTCTGGGTGGATAAGGGACAGGTGATCTGAAGATATGATAACTGGAACATGTAAAGAGGAATATAATATGGAAAGAAGGTCCTTTAGATACTCAGGTTCCAGACCATTTCAAAGCTTTAAACCAGGGATGAATAATGACTACAGCCCTGAAGCCTGCATCAGGTATTGTGTGAGCAGCAGAGAGCTGCAAGTGTATGCAAACATATAAATGCACACATTACAGCCCAATCATGCTGCAAACTACTATTGTAGTGGTGGTGAAGTTTTAGGTTCAACCTCACAGATGTAGCCCAAATATTGATCAGCATTACTTTGATGAGGTGTTGTTGGTGCAGTGTTTAACCTAAGCACCTCCACAAGTTCTTTAAGCTTTAACCCTGTCTTCTTCCTCTCAAAATTGTAGGAAAAGAAAATGTACAGAGAAGAGACTTATCTTGTACCCTTTTTGGCAGTATCCTGTGTTCTTCTGGGGACTGGGACATTCTCAAGTGCTCAGTTTTTCTTCAGTATCAGGCTCCCATCAGCCTGTTAAGGGGAGAATGCAATTTGGCACTTCTTGGAGGCTGTGGATCAACAGTCACCCACCTCTGCTTTAAAACCAACACCTTGAATTTCATCTCCCCAACCCTAGTTCATAGGAACTTACTTGACTGAAGTTGAAGGCTTTCACATCCAGCATCCATAGGTTTTTGGGGGGTTTTCAGGCTGTGAGGCTGTGTTCTAGAAGAATGTATTCCTGTCATTTTCACCTGCATCTATGGCTGGCAGCTTTATATCTTCTCTGAAGATGCCAGCCACAGATGCAGGCGAAATGTCAGGCACACCATCTATTCTTCCACATCCCACTAAACTTAGGGTCTAAGCAGACTGCCAGAAATAATGCACATTAAATTGAGGCACTGCCCTGGCTCAGTGCTGGGGAATCATGGGAACTGTAATTTATTGTGGCACCAGAGCTCTCTGACAGAGAAGGCTCAATGTCTCAGAAAAAAATACAATTCTCATGATTCCGTAGCACTGAGCCAGGGCAGTGCCTCAATTTAATGTGCACTATTTCAGGCAGTCTGCTTAGGCCTTTGCTTATTGTCTAAAGCAGGGGTAGGCAACCTAAGGCCCGGGGGCCGGATGCGGCCCAGCAAGGCCTTTGGACCGGCCCCAAACCGGTCCTGCCGCCGCCGCCCCCCCACCGCCGCCGCCCCCCCATGATGATATTGATTATTGTTGTTATTACTTGTTCTTGGGGTTTTCTTGGCAAAATCTTCACAGGGGTTTTGCCATGGCTTTTCTGGGGCTGAGAGAGTGTGCATGCATTTTTTTAAAATTTTTTAATTCTTTTTTAATTTTAATTTTAATTTTAATTTAATTATTTATTTATTTATTTTTGGTGCTTCGGCCCATCAATTGTCTGAGGGACAGCAACCCGGCCCCCGGCTCAAAAAGGTTGCCTACCCCTGGTCTAAAGTAAGAAAGGGCAACAGCTGGAGTGCCAGTTTTGGGCTTCCAGGAACCACTGTGGGCTGCACCTGCCTACTTACACCCCCCCCCCAACCCTAACAACAAAACAACACTAAAACCTGACCAGAAGTCTCCTTCCAATTTTATTTTATTTTATTTTTAAAAAACTCCCCATTTCTTTGAGAGTCGAAAATAAGCAAGGTGGAGGGCAAGCCTGGAAACTGGTTAAGGCAAAATAGCCTGTGAAAGCTTCTAGGAGTAGATTTTCAGTCTGTCTGTCTGTCCATCCATCCTTCCCTTTTGTCCTCCATCTATATTTGGCTCTCCAATTAAATGAAATTAGAAGGTCTAAAGGTATGTGAATGTAGGAAAGCATCTCTGTGTCACAGATAAAAGATCTCAAATCAGCAGAAAGCACTAAACTGAGATAAGAAACCTCTCCTCATGTGTAGTGAATTTTTCTGACCATCATAGGAAAGAGTGGAAAGGGGAACATTTTTCTCCTCTGAGATTAAAGCAATTTTCAGACAAGGATTTATTGTAAAATCACTAACCATTCACATTTTATGGTAGGTCCACATGGTATTGCTATTCATCTGCAATCTTCCTATGCATTCTCAATGGTGCTTTTCTCTTTTACTCTTAATAAAAGAATCTGACTTTTTTGAGGGTGGAAAAGTGGCACAATCTCCAAAGGTGCATAGCTTTGCTGTTCCAGGATCAGTGGCCAACAAGAAATAAACTTATTATAACTAAACTTATTATAGCTAAAGGTTCAGTAGAATCTTTATGGGTTTTTAATATTTTTTTTTACTAGTGCTAAAGTACTTTTCTGTCCATGTTGTAATAATGTTTCAGTAGTAGTAAAATATTACTTAACAGTGCAATACTCCTATAATGCTACCATGTCTTGTCTCAGATAAACAGATTGTGTGTGTGTGTGAGAGAGAGAGAGAGAGGAGGAGGAGGAGGAAAAACTTCTTGTCTAGTCACCACTATTTTAGAAAGGAAGTTAATTGTGTGGCTTAACTTGTTCTCCAACTCATGTACTGATCATTTTAGGAATTCATGGTATCGGTAGAACTCTGCCACTACATTGCAAATGAGTTGATTCTCCGTTCTATGCAAAATAAATAAACTAGTGATGAAAATGAAAGGGTTATCTGTCTCTTTTGTTGTTTTATTCTGTGAAGTGCTGTATATACTGCAATAATGATACCCACTACAAACAAGTATGTCCAACTGGGATTGGTTTAACTGCCAAATAAGTCATGACCTGTGTCAGAATCATACCACCTAGGAAAGAAAATATGAAACAGTAGTGCTACAGGCAGTGGTCTAGATGAAATACTGTTAACACGTGCATAGAGAATATCCACAAGATAGCCTAATAGCATGGGAAGTCAACTGCAGTTCTGTTTGGAGCTTACAGAACAAAACAATGACACTAGGAGCCATTTTCTGGAAGCACCCATAATTTCTGTGCTAACAAAATGCTGAGATAAGGAAGCCAGCTCATCATACATATTTGAATTTGAACCCTATGCAATTCCAATTTCTAGAAAGTGTTTTGATTTTAGGTAGCCCAGTTCTCCACACAATGGACCCATTGAGGGCAAAATTGGAACTATTTGGGCAGAAGTTAATCTCTAGTATTCCTTCCTTCTAGTCTGCAGTCTCCTGTAGTTAATCGAAATCAATGCCTATTATTTGAGCAGCTCAGATGGAATAAAGAAAGAGGCACTGTCCCCAGCTCTCATCTATTCTGTTGCAAATGGTGCCTCCACAGAATTCAAAAGCAGCAAGCGGAGCCTCTGAGCAAATCATGCAGTTGGCTCATCTGAAAAGCCAAGGGAAAGTGCAAATGCCAAGATTAACTGAGAGCAAACCATCTTCATGAATAAACTGACAGTGATTGACTACACTGGATAGGAGCTCCATAAAGAGGTTTTCTTCTCTTAAAATAAAAGAGACAGGGAGGGAGAGAGGGCTGTTTACTGTAAATGTTCAAAATGTGGTGAATGTTGACGTTGACGTGTAAAGGCTGATGACCCTGGACATTTTGTATATACCCAAATATACATATCTCTGTAAATGTATATCTCTGCCTATCTCACACCACTTGTTGCATATAGATACACCACTGAATGCTGATAATAATGTGTACGACTGTCACAACATTTCCCAGAATGATTTTTCCGATGCTCATAACCTTCATCTGGAATTGTCAGCATTCCCTTGTGGATGCCATTATATAGTCACCAAATGTGAACATTCTGAATGCATGCTTAACTTTTCCATCAAAATGAAATAAAATATTTAGCTTTGGCTGGATCTTTGAAAAGTTTTGAAAAGCATGGTGTGAAGAACATATTAACAATAAATAACAATCTTCTGCAAACAAAGACAATTGTTGTCATTTCCCATCAAGTTGGCTTTGTGTTATAGTGACCCTATAAACAAGAGGCCTCCAGGAGCCCTGGTTATCAACAGCCATGCTCAGGTCTTGCAAGCACAGGGCTGTTGCTTCCTTAATTGAATCAATCCATCTATAAAGTGGTCTTCCTCTTTCCTTTCTACCTTCCACATTACCAAGCATTATTTACAATGTACCCTCTCATTATGTCATAATGACAACCTGTAGGGAAACTGTTATCAGAGACAGACATATTTCAGAAAGCCTACGGCTCAGTTTGCTACCCATTTCATGAGTAAACAGCTCTATATTTGATATGAAATTGTTAATTGGAATATACAAAGTTGCCCTGTACCATATCAGATATGCTCTATCAATCTCAGTGTCACCTACACTTAATGGTAATTGCTTCCAGACAGGAGTCTTTCACAAATAATTTGCATGCCAGGCATATGCTCTGTCACACTGATCAATGGCCCTTCCCCAATTATCCCTTTTACTGTTGGTTTATTTCTTTGGTAATCAAAGTATATTAGAAAGAGGACAAATGAGGGCATAGATTTATATAACATTAACATCAATTTAGGAGGTTATCGCACTTGTAAAAAACCCAGCTTACCTCTCAAGTTGAATTCTAATTCAAGAGGCAACCATGTCCTATTGCATGAGTTTTGCCATTGAATTCACCAGCCGAATACAGCCCAGCTGCATCCTGGGTCCCAGGAGCACTCAGCAAGCCTCTTTTCAAAGTCGGCAGTTTTCCAACTTTGAAAAGCAGCTTGCTGAGCACTCCTGGGACCCAGGATGCAGCCAGGCAGTATTTGGTCAGCTAATTTGGCAGCAAAACTCGTGAGATAGGACCTGTCTCCTCCCGAATTGGAATTCAATTTGGGACAGGTAAGCCAGGTTATTTACAAGTGCAATAATCTAATTAGACACAAGCACTCCAATGAATAAAATAGCCAGAAAGCTCTTGGAGACTTACAGTGGCATAGTGTTCCACTATGTTAGTGTAATGCATTATTTGGAGTGAGTAGTAGAACAGTGGGAGAGCCAGTGTGGCATTTGAGTGTTGGACTAGGACTCTGAAGACCAGGGTTCAATTCCCAGCTCTGCCATGAAACCCACTGGGTAACCTTGGGCAAGTTTTACTCTCTCAGCCTCAAGGGAAGGCAATGGCAGCCCACTCTGAATCTTGCCAAGAAAACCTTAGTCAGAAATGACCTGAAGGCATACCACAAGAAACAAAGTGGAAAAGATGGAAGAGAAAGCTGACTTTCTGCCTCCTCAGCAGCTTCAGAGTTGACATGCTTTCTTTCTTTCTTGATTGATGACTTTCTATGCCATCCCCCATTGCCAACAGCAATTTTACCCTTCCTGTTGTGGCACTGCCATCTATGCCACTGTAGTGAAGGCAGCCAACAGAATTGCAGTGAGTACAGTACGGAAAGCTATGCCCAAATGACCTTCAAGCTCCTAGATCTCATTTCTTCTTATGGCTCTTTATCTTTCAACTGGACTTGGCCTGGATAGCTCTTCGTGCAGATGATTACTTCAAATAGAGGGCCACCTTTTGTAAAGTAAAGTGCACAGTTACCCCACAAAAAATAGGAGGTGGTTTTCATCTTGAGCACCATTACCAAATTCAGGTCAAAAAGTGGGAAAAGACAGACCAAGAAGGAAGCTTATTATTAAAAATAGTCTGTATCAAGTCATATGGTCCTGGCACATCCTTTCAGGTTAGGCTTGGCCATTGAACATGACCTGCTGCTGTTCTCTTTGACAAGAAGAAGAGGTCTGGCATAAGTTCCACAGAGTAAACGTGAAGTAATTGACTTCTTGCTGACGTAAGCTGCATCAGACACTTCTGTTTGATTCTATAAAGCACTGTGATTCAAACATGGAAGCTATGAGAAGGAAATAATTTTTAAAAGGAACAGATTACTAGAAGGTATTCAAGGCCGCATTCAACTATAGGGCCAATTTGTTTAAAAGGTAATGGTAAAAAAGAGAACTAATTCAGATTTAGGGCCATACTATACTAAATGGTGATTAGAATAGTGGAACGTAATACTCCATATCATGCCTATTGGAACTAATATTGCTGTGCTAAGTGGAAATTCCAAGGAGACTCAACATTCAACACACTATGAAGGTGAAGCTGATCTAAGGTATTAGTGTAGGAACCAGTAGCGTTCCCACATCATGTGACACCTGGTGTGGGGAAGCGAGGCTACTGGCCCTGGACTTCTGGCGAGGTGGGACTTCTTGCCCCAGACTTCCAGAGGCATTTCTGGAGCGTGCAGGGCCTAGGCTGCCTGAAAAGGCCCTGAAACAGTGCCGCAGGAGCAGGGAGCTGACCTGGTGTCACACACCCCCGTTCTGGGGTGTCATCCAGTATGGCCCGCACCCCCCACACACACACACACACCGTGATACTACTGGTAGGAACCAGACAAGTCAAGATAGAATATATCCCTCTGCAGGCTTTGTAGATAATACCAAAGAAGACTTTGTATGTTGGATTTATTCTAGGTCAAGGAAAGTTTTCAATATGACAAGATGAATTGATTTAGGTTTTAAACTGCTAAGGCAACCATTTCAGCATTCTTTGTTCTGATACTGGCTATTACAGGAGAATGTATTATTAATATTGTTTTATTATTCTAAAGGCCTAAGCAGACTGCCAGAAATAGTGCACATTAAATTGAGGCACTGCCCTGGCTCAGTGCTAGGGAATCATGGGAATTGTATTTTTTTTTTTCTGAGACATTGAGCTTTCTCTGTCAGAGAGCTCTGGTGCCACAATAAATTACAGTTCCCATGATTCCCTAGCACTGAGCCAGGGCAGTGCCTCAATTTAATGTGCACTATTTCTGGCAGTCTGCTTAGGCCCTACGTTTAGTGTACTATCAACAGAGCTTGGCAACAGATTCTTTATTTCTTATGCTCAAAAAATCATTGTGATCTTTTTCCAGTTCAAGTAAAACACAGTTTTCTATATCTAGGAATGAGTCATCGGATGCAGACTGGATTATATGAAGAAGATACAGAACTGTCATTGTCTCTAGCTTGGTTCAAGATACATATCTATATAGCTCATTGACTGACCTTGTTATCTCTCAATTTGACCAGTAAGTTATGAATTGCAGCAAATATAAGATGGGGGAACAAGAAAAGATCCTAAAGGCACCCAATCCCATCTGATCTTGGAAGCTAAGCAGGATCAGTCTTGGGTGGGAGATTGTCATTGAATACCCGGTGCTGTGGGCTATATGTCATAGGAAGGAACTAGCAAAACTACCTCTAAGTCTTGCTCACCTAATAGAAACCAATAAAGTTTATGGGGTCACCATAATTTAACAGACAATTTGAAGACACACATATACACACACAAGTTAAGCAGTGTGGCAAATATAAGATGGGGGAATGAGGAGAGATCTTTGCCATAATAATCCACACATTGGTTACTTCTTGTTTAGGCTCTTGTAATAAATGATTCATAGGATTGACTTTGAAGATTTCCCAGAAACTTGAGTTTGTTCATAATACAGCTGCAAGGCTCCTTTGAAAACACGTCTCACCAGTTTTGAAACAACTTCATTGGTTGTCATTCGATTTTCAAGCACAACTTAATTTTTAAAATACATAAACAACATTCATAACATTATTTACTTATAAACCCATATATAGCTTGAGAACTGCTTCTCTGTCCACTAAGGTCATAATAACAAGCCCAAGTGATTTGAGGAGAGGTTTCAGGAGATACTCTTTCTCAGGAAGGCTTGTTTGGTCTGAAGCTTACTCTTGTGTCTTTTCAGCACTTGTCAAACTCTGATGAGACACAAGACAGTTGATTCTCTTCAATTTCCACTCAACAGAGCTAAACAGAAAGTGTCAGTCTTAAATAAAAACAGCATAAATATTCAGCAAGCAAGAAGAATGGCTGACTTTTTTGGGTGGCTGAAGAACATTTTTAAAAACTCACCTGGATGGAAAGGATAATGGTAATTATCTGCCAATTGACTGCTTTCTGGTAGAACTGGCAGATCCATCAGAGGCTTTAATGATAGAGCCAGATCAAGAAATACAGATGTTCTGAAACTCTGAAGGCTGGGGGAAGTTAAAAGAATAGTCATTTCCATAGACATGATAAACTTCAGAGCAACTGTGCCAGTGATTAGTGGTCAACTGTTCCAGTTATAAATACACTATAAAATTTTTAAATGTCACTCTGTTTTTCTTAAGACTTTACTTGATCTGGTTTGCCATAGAACTGGGATATTTTTCAAGATGTTGCTTGCTTGTTTGCGTTGTGACTACCACATTTATTTCTTCTAAAACAAGCAGAATTAGCCAAAGATTTTGTTTTGCATGAGCTAAGCTGTAAGGAATGCTGAAATCAGTCAGCAAGAGTTATTTTCACAAGAGGACTTCCCTGAGGGTAGTAGGATAATGCCATTTGGAACAGTATTTTTAATGGCGGAGGACAGACATGGAGACTTGCATGTTGCTGCAAAGCACTGTAAATGAAGTTTCTGTTTTAACCTTTGCACATACAAAAAAAAAAAAAAAAAAGCAAAGCCTATCACTGTATTGCAAAACTGACTTGGTTATCACTACATTTACAGAGTCATATAATATGACCACTTGGATTTTAATGTTCTCCTCATAAATTCCCACACGGATTCCATAAAAAGATTCCTTGGGCAATGTGCATGCATGTGCCTTCAAGTCACCTATCAACTTTTGGTGACTTCTTGAATTTCATAGGGTTTTCTTAGGCAAGGAATACTCAGAGGTGGTTTGCCAGCTCCTTCCTCTGAAATATCGTCTACAGCACCTGGTATTAGTTTGCAGTCTCTCATCCAAATACTAACCAGAGCTGACTCTACTTAGCTTCCAAGATCAGGGAGGATCAAGAGCTTTCAGGCAACAGATAAAACTGCTCATTTTTATTTAATCTTCCAAGTCTTTGGACATTTATAAGGGAAGGTCTGATTCTAATAAAACCAGATCTTGAGCTGAACTGGGTTGAAATGAAGGTTGTAGATTCTTGTGTACATTTTAATTTCTTCGTGGTGTCACTAGGGGGGTGCAGGGTGTGGGGACCACACCGGGTGACACCCTAAGGGGGTGACACCACTTCTCCTCAAACACCACCTTTTGGCAGAAACAGGTGTGGAATTCACCTGGTTCCCTTTAAAATGATTTAAGAGATGGTGGAAGTGGGGTGAAGCTCGGTTGGAGGAGAAAAGAGAGCCCCAGAATTTTTAAAATTAAAATGTCATGTTTTTTAAAAAAGAATTAAAAACACACATTTTAACTAAATCTTCACTATGTATATGTTAATACATTCAAGTTGTGCATATGATATTGTAATTTGAAGGTATCATTTTAATTTTGCTAGTTGTTTATGTCACAACTGTTAGCTTACATTCAGTGGCATATGGGAATTACGAATTACGAGTAACATTAGTGCAAAAAAGCATTACTAAGGATTCTGTATGGTGTGGTATGGGAGGAGGTCATGTGGGGGTGACACCAATCCTAATGACACCACTGCCACCAGTACCTCCAAAGATAAAGAGAGGAAAACTCTTTGCAGTCCACATGCACAAAGAACACCACCAGAACTATTTGTAGTGTTCCTATGCATTGTTAGGCTCCCTACTTTGAGTTAGCAAAGACCGTAAGTAACAGGATCTCTTGGAAATTTCCTATTCATAGGGTCACCATAAGATGAAGATGGCTTGACAGTTCTTAACACCATTCCCACTTTGAACACAGGGGTTCCCGTGAGATGTGGATGCAGGAAAAGCAGAATGTAAGCTTTATAGATGCACAAGTCTTTAGACATGTGGGCTCCCTATAAGTATTGGGATGATTCGTAAGAGTCTGGAATTCTGTTTTACTAAGGCTTCTCTAAAGCATGACATCTGTCTTGTGTATGGTGAATGATGATCCATTTTCACAACCAGGGATAAGACTGCCTATGTGTATGCATGTTTAAAAGTTAAATAGGATAGCTATTAATCCATTTGGTTTTGCCACCCTAAACTATTGCCTTTCCTAGCTTGGTACATCAGATGTCTAGGGCTATATCCATTTGGAGGGCACCAGGTTAGAGGACACTAAGGGCCTAAGCAGACGACTAAAACAGTCATCTTGGAGGCCCGGAAGAGGAGGAGCCACCGCACGCGCAGCGCTCCTTCCTCTTCCTGAGGTCGCCCTGAGTGCTTCTGGGCCACCGGATGGCCGGCGCGTTCAGAGCGACCTCCCTCCGCAGCAACCGGACGCGCTGCGGAGGATAAGTCAGAGAAAGTGCGCCCGCCGCTTTTAGGGCGCACTTTTTCTGACTTATGAAAGGAGCGCCAATTTGGTGCTCCTTTCAGGGTCGCTCCAGGAGCGCCGCGGTGTGGCTGCCATGGCCCCGCGGCGCTCCGGACCAGGGCGCTCCAAACGCCCTGGTCTGCATCCCCCCTAAGCTACAGTATCTGAAAAAGAACAGTATGTAGAGAGATCTTGTAGCATCTTTGACTAACTAAAAAAGTTGGCAGCATGAGCTTTCATAGACTTGTCTACTTCCTCGGATGCGTTTGGATGCAAAGGAAGTAGACTAAGGGCCTTTGCAGACTGCCAGAAATAGTGCAAATTGAGTCCACTTTAAGGGTTAGGGTTAGTGCTAGGGAATCATGGGAACTATATTTTTTCTGAGACATTGAGCCTTCTCTGTCAGAGAGCTCTGGTGCTACAATAAAATACAGTTCCCATGATTCCCTAACCCTAACCCTTAAAGTGTACTCAGTTTGCACTATTTCTAGCATTCTGCAAAGGCCCAATGTCAATGAAAGCTCATGCTTCCAACTTCTTTCTTTAGATAGTCTCAAAGTTGCTACAAGATCTCTCTACATACTGATTATACAGACTAACACAGCTATATCTTTGAAAAAGAACACGTTGTGCTAATATCAAAAGTTGGAAAAGTTACTGTTTGGGGCTACAGCTCTCAGAAATCCCAGCCACCATGACCATGCCAGCTAGAGGATTCTGGGAACTGTAATCTAAAATTGTAACTCTTTGAAGCTCAGAGCAGTAGCTAGTGTTTGACCTGTACCGGCTGGGCATGTATTCATTTATAACACACACATCCACACTTTTGTGAGGGTAAGCATTCTTTTAAAAAAGAAGAGTTGCTACGCGCAAAGAAACAGAATTGTTTGCAACATTATCCATCCTCTGGGAAATCACATATTGTGTAGATTAATATTAGAAACTCACTGGAAGAGAGAAAGAGGAAAACAGCTAGAAGCAGGAAACTGAGTGGGGGAGTTAGTAGCTTATGAGTTATTTTCCAGTCAAGCCCTGAATTCTTCTCCCTATAAATATTTAAAAATATTTGGGTCTAACACCACAGTTGGGACTGAATTCAGCTGCTAACTAATCCTGAGTAGCTACACTGGCTTGTACAAGGTCAAACCACTGTGCAAATATTTATTCATCAATGAGGTGCTACAGTGTCTTGCCTCTGCTAAAAGCATGGAAGAAGAACAAAGACTGCACCTTGGACAGAGCAATGGGGAAAGGAGGGGGGGGGTGTTCCAATCTCCTCCAAGCCTCTGACTGGAGAGCATTTCATTTTATTAGCAATATTATATGACCCACAAGTTCTCCCTAAGGGAGAAATGGCTCCTCCAGTTTAGTGAGGGAGGCAGGATGAGAGAAATGTCTTTGCTCAGCTTTCCTGAGGCACAGATGGCAAATCATGCAACTTTAAGGGATAATTTAGATGAGGGGGGAGACATTTTGGTAGATCCTGGATGGATGGATGGATGGATGGATAAGATCCACTGAACCTCTAGGGCACATGCCTATCCCCACCTAATGAGAATTTACATAAGGCATGTGGAAGGGACTGTCTCTAAGACCTGTTTTATAGCCATGGATGGAGAAATCGATCCAGTTTTGCTTTTCACCAAATTGGAATGTTTTAAACCTCAGAGGCTTCTCCCATACCTCCATGTCCAGAATATGAAGTGCTTTGCAAATGTTGGTGAACTCTTCAAAAACAAACCAAAACTCTTCACTAGTTGTACTCTATCAAACTGAATACAGTGAGCCCTCCACATTTGCTGGAGTTGGGTTAGGGGCACGAGACCCGCGTAAAAGTAGAAAAACCTCAAATAAAAATAACACTATGTTTTTAATCAGAGAAAACACCTCTCTAGGAATTTCAAGGTCCTCCAGTGCAACTCTATGGTCAACATCTACCAAAGGTTGGCCATAGAGTCATGCTGGAGGACCTACAAATGCCTAGAAAAGTGTTTTCTCTAGTAATCTCTAAGTCCTCCAGCACAACTCTATGGTCAATTTCCAGCAGAGTTGTGCTGGAAGACCTAGAGATTCTTAGAGAGAACATATTAATCAAATCCGCAAATAATCAAATCCACAAAACTCAAATTCACAAATGTGGAGGGCAGATTGTAGATGCAACTATCGTTGGCACGGCCTAAATCCATGTATTATCTTTAACTAGAGCAGGCCTCAGCCAGTGTGGTGTAGTGGTTTTTGCATCGGGCTACAACTCTGGAGACCAGGGTTCAAATCCCTGCTGGAGACCAGGGTTCAAATCCCTGCTCAAGCATAAAAATCCACTGGGTGACCTTAGGCAAGTCACACTCTCTCAGCCTCAGAAGACAGCAATGGCAAATTCAGAGGTAACAATTTGATTTTTTTTTTCTGTGCTAGGACCTTCAACACCTTGACAACAATCTTTTTGGTCAACAAGGAATGCCTGTTTGATTCTGTGATGAATGCACTTAGCATACATTCAACCACCATAGGCTCTGCTAACATGTTTCTTTATTTTGGATAGTTTCATAAGAACTTTGGTCAACCAGTTTGAGCTCTATAAAGTCTTCCTGGGCATACACCACCTGTGGACTTTGGGCCTTTGCCTACTTTTTTGGTGTAAAGTAAACAATCTTGTTAGCTCATATATGGAACAACTATTTGTATCATTTTTTATGAATACAAAAATGTTACTATTATCTTGGACAACAATTCCTGTTACAGTCAGTCTTCTATATGCACAGACTATTTATCCACGGATTCAAGGATCCATAGCTTGAAAATATTTTTAAAATATATAAATTCCAAAAAGCAAATCCTGGTTTTGTTATTTTATATAAAGGACACTATTTTACTATGCCATTGTTTTCAATGGGACTTGAGCATCCACGGATTTTGGTATCCACAGGGGGGGAAGGGGGCTGGAACCAGACCCCAGCAGATTCCAAGGACCCAGTGTATATGAGGGGAATGGGACTTGTATGCAAACTCTGGAAACCACATGGTGCAGAGATGAAGAGCTGTCATCATTTAGAAGAGGTAAAAGGCTGCACATGGAGTGATTCCTGGTGACTTAGGAATGTACGGTGTGTGCAGGGGAAGGAAAAGAAAGCATCAAGAACAACACAACTCGAGTACAAGTGAAGCCTTATCTAACTGTTATTGTGTCTCTATGAAACAACATGGGAACAGGTCAGTGTTGACTAACTCCATCCTGGACAGCAGCCAGAATCCTGTTAGTGACACCCATGTGGCTTATGAGCGTGTATGTCTTTTTGGACAGAGTGCAAGATGCTATTCTGTTGCTCTTGTCACAGTGTCCAAAACCTCCGCAACCCACAGCTGTCAAGCCCTGGGAAGGGGGCTGTCACTGCTGATGCTTTTTGATGGTTGGAGGGGATAAAGAAGCAATTCAGATGATGCAGCTCTGAAGGGAAGGGATAGGAAGGTGCCCTCCATCTGTGAGCACACTCCTTCCTCTCTGAGCCAAAATGAGCTGGTTCTTCATCACTTGACTTCTCTGCCCATTTCTTCTTCTCCCTACTTGTAGGCAACAGGAGCTTAACAGTTGTGTGAGACGATGCCACTAATGTAAGAAACTGGGAAAGGATTTCTTCACAATGTTCCTGGGACTGGCGCCATATTTGTGCCCATTGACTACAATTGTATATTTCCTGGAAATACTCCTGGAACCAGCAGTCCATGGCTCAGGTTCAGGGACCACCTCTTTGAGTGGCAATGGGCTATGGACTAGCCCTTTGTGGGGTACTCAAGTAAAAAAGAAAGAAATGAGCATTGCAGCAGTGAGGCCTTATATATACTAGGGGAGGGGGCAGAATTGGAAAAGGAACTGTACAGGTGGAATGTTACTTTCCTGATGCAGGATATAGGCCCATGAGTATTGAATAGGTCCTCCCACTGATGCAGACACAGAAACCTCCCAAGGAGCAAACATTTATGCTTTGCACATAAATGTGAGGGACTTCCGGTGTGGTGAGATTGTGAGGAGGACGTGGGTCTGAGTTGCTCTTGACCCCAAC